TCTCTCTCTCTCTCTCTCTCTCTCTCTCATTTCCTTCCTGCTTCTCTGGTTATAGAAACTGTCAGGTGGCCTGGTTGGTGTCATCTTACTTTTTGTGAACTGTCACCCAGGGATGTCCATTTATTATGCCTTGGGCACTCTCTCTTTAATACTCTGTCTCTCTCTGAGGGATGGTTAATGATCTTTGCAGCAAATGAAGGTGAACTGCAGCCACATTTTTCCTGTTCAACCAATGCTATGGAACAGATTGGGCTGAGCTTTGAACAGCTGGGGCTGGCAGAGTGCGTCCCTAACTCCTCTCGGAAGAGTCCCAGAACTGCCAAGTCATCACACTTGAAGGGGAAAGGGGGTAAGGAAGGTTACCGGGTCAGTGCCTCCTGCAGGTGCCTTTGCTTTGTGGTCTACTTTGTTAAATGTTCACTGGTTTGTGGATCTGGTGGAGGCCGGACTAATTGAACTCACGAGCTGCTGTGTCTGCCATAGACCAGACCACTCAGGGGCTCGGCTGATATTTTATTGTTACTTTGTAGGTACCGAAATGTGATCACATAAGTACCTCTGCTGGAACGTGTGGTGCTCCTTCACTCTCTGCAGCCATTATTTCAAGGAGAGTTTTGATGTGCAAAAATGTGTGCTACCCGAATATAAATTTAACAATGGTCTGTTGGGACTCTCAGGTGACAGTGTGGCTTCCTGGTGGGTATAATAAACGGGAAGCAGGTGGGCAAGTGTAGATAACGTAAGTGGGTGGCCCAGGGAGACTGAGCCATCTTTCACATGTGGCGAGTTTGCCCATGCAAGGTGGGGTGTGTCTATGCACGGATCCTTCGGTAACTTGCTTCAGTTTAAATTTGTTATATAAAAATCAAGCTACTTTTTTGGCTTCGCTGAGGCTGAGTGACAGCCACTCCTAACGTGTCCTGGGTGGGCCAGGCAAGGACTTTTTACTCCACATCTCCACATTATTTCACCAGATTGGTCCCTGGAGTAAGAGGCCAGGGAAGAACAGATAAAGGTTTATAGCTGGGAAGAGGCAGGTTTGAATCTGAGCTTTACTGTCAGTTTGGACAAGTTACTCGTCGCTCAGATTCGGTTTCTTCAGTGTACATTTCTAAAACAACTGCACATATACATGCGTCTCTGTGCATATTTATTATTAGTTTTCAGTTTCTGTGAGTCAAGATGGAGTGATGCTAATCTTTGTGTGTGTGTGTGTAGTGCTAGAGTTTGAACCCAGGGCTCTACATATGCCAGCAAGCATCGTAGTGCTGAACTGCGCCCCAGTCCCTCACTGGTGGGTTCTAGGCAGGCACTCTGCTTCTCTGGACCATTCAGGTCCTTATTGGCCGATTCTAGGCAAGCACTGAGTGGTAGAGTGAATTTACTTGAATTCAATTAGTGCCTTTTTCTGTAATATATGGCCTTTGACACATGTCAGAATCAAGAATCATTCAGGGGTCTGGAGAGATAGCTCAGCTGTTAAGAGCACTGGATGTTCTTGCAGATGACCTACATCCAAATCCCAGTACTCACATGGCTGCTAACAACTGTCCATAACTCCAGTTCCCGGGATCCGATACTGTCTTCTGTCCTCTGTGGGCATTGTATGACACAGGTGCACTTACACACATGCAGGCATAACACTCATACACATAAAATAAAAATAAATAAAAAAGAGAATCGTTCGGGAGTTATTTGGACACTGCATCAAGTGGGGACATAGACTTCCTGGTTACTATGTACATGATTAAGAAGTGCTGGGGCTAGGGGTATAGCTCAGTAGATAAGAGTGCTTGCCTAGCATGCATGAGTTCCTTGGTTCAATCTCTAGTGCCAGATGAACCAGCCATGGTGATGCATCCTGAAATCCCAGCACACCACGCTGGATGCTTAAGCAGAATCAGAGGTTCAGGGTCATTCTTGACCAGTCCCAGAACTGCCAAGTCATCGCACTTGAAGGGGAAAGGGACAAGGTCACCACTGTCTGGGGTAGAATATACAGGTATTTTTGACTCTCATCTCCGATGTCATAATTTTTCTTGGTTGCCGCCCCTCCTGGCCTCCAAAATTGTAGCAGTTACCTAAAATCACCTAGTAGAGTGATAGAGGAAAGTAAAAGGGAGCCTGGGTAGGGCCCTCGAAGTTACCCTGGCCTTCTTAGATCATCTGTCCAGCAGTCTGTGGTCAGATTGGGCTTCTTGCGGGATTCCGCAGACACTAGAAAGGGGCTTTCACCTTTGCCGACTCAAAGATTTGTTTTGAAAATGAGAAAACGCTGGGCTGGAGAGAGAAGTCAGTGGTTAAGAGCAGGTCCATGGCAGCTAACCATTATCTGTAACTCCAGTTCCAGGGGATCCGATGCTTTCTTCTGGCCTCCATAGGCACTGCACACATGTGGTGCACTCAGGCAATACACTCATACACATAAAATTAAAATAATAAAAAAATTTTTTAAAAGAGAATGAGAAACATCTAAGAAAAGGGGAAACATTACACATGTGGGCGTTGCTCTAGCAACCTGGCTGTGATCCCTTGAAGGCTGGTAAAATCTGCACAGATGGATGGACACGTTCTCTTTCTCTGGGTTGAGTGGTTTCATAAATATTGTTAGAATTTGGGCAAATGTCAAGAAAAACGTCCAAGTCTCTAAGCAGGCTTGGAGATAGTGAAATCCGGGGCCCACTGGTGGGGTGTGTAGTGTCTGTGTGTGAATGTGTGAATAATATGTTTGAAATGTGTCTGTGTGTATGTATAATGTGGATGTGTTTAATGTGTGTATTTCTGTATGTACTACATGTATAATGTGTTTCTGTGTATAATGTACATGTAAAGTGAGTGTGTAATGTGTGTATATGTCTGTACATTTGTGTATTCTGTGTATGCACGTGTGATGTGTGTATGTGAGTGTATATATGTGTAGTGTTTGTATGTATGTGTGTGTATGTATGTATATATGTAGTGTGCATATGTGTAAGTCTTTGGGTCTACTGTGTGTCTAGTAAGTATGTAGTGTTGTATGTATGCATGTATCTATATGTGTAGTGTGTATGTGTGCATGTGTATGTGTTGGTGTGTAGTGTGCATATGTGTATATGTATAGTATATGTGTAGCATATATATGTGGTGTGTATATGTGTGTGTGTGTGTATAATGTGTGTATCTGTGTGCCGCAGGGTGAAAGAGGCAGATGCTTCCCTGGCTCGTTTCCTGGTTTTCAAAGCCTCCCTCTCTGTTTGGTTTTGTTTTAAGGCCCAGTGTTCCTCAGTCCTTCAGTGGGTGGGGAGGCCCACAGGCGGCCTGCACTGCTTTCCCTCCCTCTTCTCTGCATGGTACCACGTCAAGTGTGAGGTGCCACAAACTGCTCTGAGCAGAGCCTACTTCCCTTCACCCGCAGAGTGCAAAGCAGTTATACCAACGTCAATCAAGGAAACCCACAGGCTGAGCTCACACAGTTGAAGCAGGTGTGTGAATGAGGCAGACGCGGGACTCAGATGGCAGTTATGATGGCCGTGTGGGCCGTGGTTGCCCTTGCAGAGCCCTATGGAGCCTGCTGTTCGGGGACGCCGTGCACAGCTGCTGTCCTCTTGAGATGGCCCCTTCCCTGCAGGCTGGCCCTCTTGGAAGTTTATGGGGTGGACTCTGAAAGGAAAAGTGTTTTCCTTTCCTTCTGTGGTACTTTGCTGTGGGACCATCTCTTCAAACTCCATTAAAACTGTAAACAGGAGACCACATTGATGATTTACTGGGACTAACGGCAGAAGTACAAGGTTTAAAATCTGCCTTTGTACTCGGGAGCCTGAGGCAGGAGGATCACACATTTAAGGCCAGACTGGAAAACTGTATAAGACTTTGTTTCAAGAGAAATCAAGAAAAAAGAGCGCTCTGGCTGGAGTTCAGTGGTAGAGCACTTGCCAAACCTGCTTGCGACCCTGGATTCCTTCCCCAGCAAGTCACAACAAAACCAAAAAACAAGCACCCAAAACTATGTATGCCAGTGTAAGCACCAGTGCATATCAAATGTTTATGTATGTAGAGGTCTATGCATATTCACATGTGCCTATGTATATAAACTTATGTATAGACCATGTATGACACACATACATAGAAGTGTATAATACATACATGTAATCATAAACTGATTTCAAGGAAAGCTCTTGGGCTGTGAGGTAAAGAGAGAATATAAATATCTAAAATAATTGTGTTGTATGATATGGTTAAGGTACTTGTAAAAAATGTAGCAAACACATGCCTAATCCAGTGTGAAAGCAGCCAGATACATACTGAGCTTTGGGGTTATTGTAATAAAAAAAAAGATGGAGGCTGGAGAGATGGCACTGGCTGCTCTTCCAGATGACCTGGGTTCTCAGCGCCCACGTGGTAGCTAACAACCATTTGCAACTCCAGTTCCTAGGGATCCAAACCATCTTCTGGCTTCCTCCTGTATTGTACACATATGGTATACTTACATACATGCAGGTAAGAAATACACATAAAATAAAAATAAACAAATGAATGAAGATGGAAACCGTTAGCTGGGACTTCATACATTCTGTGCCTTTTACAAAGCTGTCCGTCCCCTAAAGCGACATGAACGTACTTCTGTGCTGAGTGTCCACTTTAAGCTGCTGCTTCAAAATGTTGTACATGTTATTTGTATTTAAATATGCAAGATGTCACCCTTTGATATCAAGCAGACTAAGTCTGGGAATAAACCCAGTGTCATTATAAGTGTAGGAGAAAACATACTGTTTGGGAGGAAAGATATACTATCTGGAGATAACTTTTAATTAATTAATCAACTCATTAATTTTTGGGCTTTTTGAGACAGGGTCTCTCTGTAGCCCAGCTGGCCTGGAGCTCACTATGTAGACCAGGCTGGCCTCGATCTCCTAGAGATCTGCCTGCTTTTACCTCACCAGAGCTGAGATTCAAGGCACGTGCCACTATGCCTGGCTAGGAGATAATTCTTAATACGTCAAATCAAAGCTGCAAAATATAGGTACAGTTCCAGAAATTCAACTTTGAGGCTTATGCATCCTCAGGATGCACCTCAACATGCAAGAGATTTAACTACAAGATTGCTTTAGCAGAAAGCTCCTCATGTCTCCTGTGTTAGAAGTGCCTAAGCCTTATCAGAAGGACCAAATACATTTTAGTAGTATCGAATGAAAAAACACTAAATGTAGCAGTGACCTGGTATAGACTTTTACATGGCTCTGGTTACATGTGTTTGAGTGCCTGTGTACCCACACGTCTTTGCAGCACTCATGAGGAGGTCAAAGGACAACTCGTAGTCAGGTCATCGGATTTGGTGGCAAGCATCTTTACCCACTGAGCCATCTTGCCGGTTGTTTTCCTAAATCCAACACATCCTTGGTGTGTATCTGTGTATATGTAGGTGTTAGGAACTGTTTGGGAGATTGTTTATAAACCTGAAAGTTGTTATTGCAAAGTGACTTGCCTTTATTTTGCCTGTATGCTCCTAATAACTTCACAATGTTCATTTATTACCTGCATACTAAATGCAGAGAAGGATCAACACGGAGGAAGAGGAGTCTATTGGTGTATTTGTGCTATCCTGGAATATTCATGAAGGCTAGAAGGAGCCTTGCCTTTTATT